GTCTCCCCCGAGTTACTGTCTTCCGCCATTTTGGAGAGTATCACAATGCATACGCACGCTTTACCCTAAGTGTAAACAACGCTGATTACACCGATTACGTTCATTGCTCGCGCTTTCCCCTCCTAACGTAAACAATGCTGATTATGTTCTTGGGTACTCTCCAAAATGGCAGAAGACGTAACTCGGGAGAGAAGAATTGTTAAATAAATTATGTTATTTTTGTTTTTTTGCGCACAAAAAGTATATAAAAGTATCGTAGCTTGGCAAAATTGAAGTTGAACCACTGATGTCACATGGACTGTTTTACCGATGTCCTTACCACGTTTTTGTCTGGGAACATTTCAGTTGCGTTGCTGTCTATGGAGGATCAGAGAGCTCTCAGATTCCATCAAAAATATCTTAATTTGTGTTCCAAAGATGAATGAAAGTCTTACGGGTTTTGAATGACATGAGGGTGCGTAATTAATGACAGAATTTTCATTTTGGGGTGAACTGACCCTTTAAAGCATTGGCCTTGTCACACACACATACAGTGGTGTTCAGTATGGTCACAGTGTATATCTGTTATTCAAGAAACTTTTGAAAAGTTTAAAAAACAATTTATGACAAAGTCTTTATAGTAAATAAAAATGTTTATGTACTGTATAAATACTGAATGGGGGTGTTGGCACAGTGATTAACCAGCAAAATTAAAAATGGCACGTTGTGCCGAAAAGGTTGCCGACCCCTGTTCTAACTCATGAGTAAGTTTGAGTCTGTTTCTTGAATTTTTCACTGATTCATTAAAAAGAACTGGTGCAGAATGAGGGCATTTGTTCAAGAATTTGATCGTGCTCTGCGCTACCACATATAAATACACTCACAATTCTCCCAAGTGTCACCAATGCCACTTAGATTTGAAAAGACTATAATTATTTTAGTCACAGTCTGTACCTATTTATGGTATTTTTATAGTACTTTCTCAATATGTTTCTCAACTCAGTCCACTGAGGCAAAAGTCATAGTTAATAGTTGGTCCCCAAACTAAAGTGTGACCAAAATCTTTCTAATTGTAACATTTTGAAGCATGTTTATTTTTAAAAATTGTATGGTTTTATAAGTAACTACAAAATAACGTTTGGGGTGTGAGTGTGCGCAGTTTGCGTTGTACAACAAAACGTCCAAGTACCATCAAGTTATGTTTACCACAGACCTTATTTTACGTGTGAATTGAAAAAGCCCATTATAAATCCCATAGAAAAATCTCGAAGGGGAACGCATGGCGAGTCTTCTGGGTTTTAACGTCACGACTGCAGCACTCTATTAACATTATCCAAATAGTCAGCAGGAGCAGCCTAGGTAAATAGCTATTTCCACATTACTTCAGGATACTGTTATAGCCAATACAACCCAGACCTTCAGTCTCCACGTTCCTGGCCAAAAAGCCTTCTCAAAAGTCAAGTCGGAAGTACTCCTCCACAATCACTTGCAAACTCGCATTCAGGTCTGGCTCCTTTCTGGCATGAAACGCCCACTTTTTACAATGCGCTAAATTCCCAAAGGATACAATCAAGTCCTGCCCTACATTTCTTTTTCTCTCATTGACTATTTTGTTTTAATCTGAAATACATCACATTATGGAAGGTACAACGATTTGTGAATGCCATTTAATTCTGACTTTAAAAAGAGAAGCCATGAAATTCACACAAAAAACACAATGAAACAATCCAGTCATTTATCTGCACTGATTCGATTTGTTGTTACTCTCTCTCTCTCTTTCTCTTTCGCCCTCTATCTCTCACTCTCACTTTCAATCTCACATCATCCCTCCTTCCACCAGCCACCCACTTGCAAACAGCAGGGAATAATTATGGCTTAAGTGGATAATGCGGCCTGCAGATGGCAGATAAACGAAGAGGAGAAGAATCAGGACAGTCTATCTGGGCAGAATTGTGGATGAGCAACGGAAATCTGATGAGTGGAATGGGATTCCAAGAAGCAGCAGCAACATGTCGCGCCGAGGGCCATGATAAAATGTGTCATGGTGCCCAGCAAATTAACTGGGAGTCATTTTTGCTGTGGGATTTAGATACATTTTTGTAGAAAACTGCTTGAAAACTAGGATAGGAAACTTTGCGGGGACGACATCTTGTCATGACACCGAATGAGATTAATTGTGTCATCCCAGTCGCGTTCAGTGCCTATCACCGTTTGGTATTTTCGAAACCAGTAATGGTTGATAAGATCTCACAAAGTACATGCCTGGGTCATATTTTACATCAAAATTCAAATCAAATAAATAATACATAAATGACTTGCATTTCTATTTAGTATAAATGATTGAAACTGTTAACTAATAAAATAATTAAATAATAATTTTCAGTAGGAATTATTTTCATTAAAACATCTTTGTGAAAAAAAGTGTATATATGTTTATATAAAAATATCAATAACACAATGCAAAAAAAAACAAACACAATGGTCCTTACAAAAAAATGCGTCTTTTTTTCAGCAAAATATATTTATCCAAAATATGTTTTCCATTATTACTATTTTGATGTAAAATACAACTAATTAAGTGAAACACACACACACATACACAGAATACCCCTGAGATGCAGGGATCTGCTAGTATATACTGTAAAATATTAAATCTGCAAGTCTGAATGTTGGCAGGCTGAATGGTACGTAGAAATTTCTGGACATGCGGGGATATATACACATACAACAGCAAACAGACGAGCTCACAGGTGTTAAAAATAGCAGCACCGATTGATTTAAAACATGTTTTAATAAACAATTCTTCAGAACAGATGAGAACATCGGAGCCCAAGGCTGCAAAACATGGATTGTTTTCAGCCACATCGCTGCGGATATCATTCAACAAAGCAACATACACTGAAACCAACAGAATGATCATATGCAACAGTTTTGGACAGTCTTGTAGACTAACTGTGCAGCTGTATGATCAGAAGTCACTCTTTAGTGCTACACTGATGGCATTCAGTAGCGTAGCAACCAAGATTCTGGAAAAGAATCATTACTTTTCAAAGACCCTCGTCGTAATGTGTTTACACAAACACACGATTTCTGAATAGTTACACCGCAGATTACATGGAGCAAATTTCTGTTACTCTAATAATCTCATAAGCATCATTGTAACATAATATATGTATGCATTTCTAAACATATATATTGCAGACTGTATTACAAAACTACAATTTTACCATGTTTTGAAATGGCTGACCACGCATGCATCCATTTGTTAGACATATCTCAACACAATAAGTCATATTTTCATATTTATATGAATATATTAATCATATTTTACCTTCAAAGAAATTATACAAATTTTGTGTAAACGAAATCAAGCCTGTTTTATATTAAGATTAGTTTGAAATGCAGCAAGCCTATTCCCCCGGTTCTCATGAATGTAATAAAAAATGCCATATTTAAAAGACAAATTATTTATATATTAAGTTGGTGTTTGTTGTACTTTCTTTTTAACCTATGCTCATTTTTAATAAAGAAAGAATGTGTCCAGACAGGATGAATTGCATTGCTGTGTAACAGTAATGAGAATCTAATGAGAATCATCATTGAGAATAATGAGAATTACAATATATATAGTTAAATTATAAATTAAAATATAATTTAATAGCATAAATGTATACAGTAGTCTCCATTATCTACATGCTGGGGTGAAAACTGATGTGCACGTTTTTGACGGGCTTTGCGAGTTTCACTCATTTATATACAAAAAGATCATATGGTAACTTGTAGAAATGTTACATCCTGTCATTTGAAATATAATACCTGAATTAAATGTGAATGGATCTCATGCTTTTTTACTGTGTGGAAGAAGAGAAAAGGACCGAGAAGGAGCTATTTCAGTGTGTTACATCAGATTTGCTGCACTGAGGGGTCAAGGCCATGCTGGCCATTTGCAAAAAATTGAGATGATAATTGGTGTTTCTTCTTATGTTTGCACATTCTGTCCATCAGCCCTCATGTACCACCTTTGCAGAATTATCGCTGACATAATGATTCAGACCTTCGCACCCTTTGCATGCGCTTATTCCACACAATGCAGCAACATCACCTATGGAGCGATTATAACAGAAGTTAACCAACAACCACTTCCTTACTACTCAATTAAAATGGCTTGTTAATTATTCAGTCCAGCACTGGAAATATTAATATGACAGATTATATTTTGGTGCACTGTTAACTTAAACCACCACCCAAACTAGATTCCACATTAAGAAATGCATCCTAAATATGATTCCACATAGATGATTAAGTCTGCTTTTTCAAGATTTGTATGCATTTTAATGTATCCATTGCAGTTAAATTAATTTTTCTAATTAGTTCCGATATGCAGGCAGGAAATGTTTTAGCAGCAGGACTGCTGTTCTGCAAACTGACATCTCAATCGAGGCGATCCACTGTGACAAGAGGCTTTCATCATGGATGCAGAGTCCTCGCAAACACATTTACTTTGCACTTTTTCCATTTCTCTTAGCAACACAAAGCTGAAATCCATCAGCATGACTTGAAGCATTTCTGTTTCGCCCTGCAATCTATTAATAATTCATGCGAAGGAGGGGGAACCCCCAATAAATCCGTCAATCCTCCCCCACCGAGCTTGAGTCATACCTTTTCCCCCCACATGACTTCTATACTATAATATACAGCAGCGGCAGTCAACACTTAGCATGCTCATAAATAATATTCCAAGCCCCATCTCTGATGTTGCCTTAGGGAACTGCGATCTGATGACAGCACATGCATGGCTTGAATCTTCTCTAGCCAATGGAAAGGTGCCGTTCAGTTTGGGAATGGCCATTATGTGGCTTTCTACACCTCTACAGGTCTTCTCCCATGAATCTGTTTCCTCGGGATGCACATCGTAAAATGCAAATGTAACTACTCAAGAATACTCGGATGTCGCGTAACCAACCCAAACAATTGAGCTTCTAGAACAGACTGAAGCTTTCTAAGCAGCTAAACCCCCGTTTTCTGGTGGAGAACGCGGGCATCGCTGCGAGGGTGAATTCCTGCTGCACTCCAGGCATCAGGGATGGGAGAAAGAGATGGGTAGAGGAACAGAAAACGACAGAAAGGTGAAGCCGCTTACCTAATGGTCTGCATCTCCTCGTCCGAAGCTTGGAAGAAGGAAGAAGAGGCGATTAGTGAAAGGAACGTGCGCCTGCTTCCCGAAGCTGCCAAGGCATCACTGCGCAGTCTGAGGCACACACCGCCGCTCTCTCTCTCTCCTTCTGTCTCTCCCTTTTCTCTTGCTCTCTCTCTATCCAATGGTGCCAGTGTACTTCTGCACCGATCTCATGTGCGAGGAGGGGAGAAATCTTGACAGATTAAGTGCGAATGGAAAGCACAGTCGCAGCCAGAATGCAGATACACAACATCAGACACGCCGCCCCCTCTCCTTCTTCCTCCCCGAGAGAAACTCACTCATCGGTTTTGCGAAGATTCACAGGATGTGAGGACAGACAGCAGACCAGAGAGAGGGAGCGGGTGAGAAAAAGAGTGCGAGAGGGAGAAATGGTGTGTGAGAGAGAGAGAGGGAAACAGGTGGGCTCATCTGTTGATGAAAGAATCGGAGGGAGGGATGGGGAGGCACTCCGGTTCTCAGATCCACTGTGTGCTACAGCTTTCTCTCTCGCTCGGTCTGTCTGTCTCTCTGCCGCCCCATGAACAATGCAAGAGTGAGATTATGTCAGAGGAATTCACATTCTCATTCAGATTTAGTGTGCAGCAGTGACCAAGGGCCTTTCCAGTCCTATTAATTCAACACCAGGCAGGCAGTACGTGATCCAATGTGGTATAACACATCCAAGCTAGTTTAATAGTTTACAGGCCAATCTAAATGATAAAGCTGATATGCTATGTATAGTATGCTAATTTTGTAAAGTATTTAATAATATACGAAGAGTTTATTTGCAAAAACAGATAACTCGAATAACTCAATCGTGCTTTTTTTTATTATGTTATCATGTTTATATTGTGTTTTATTGTGTTAGTTAGCTATATTCTATGGAAGCCGTGAGATATAAACTCGCAATTCTGAGAACATATCAGTCTCCCCCCCCCAAAATTGGACTTTAACTCGAGTTTATATCACGCGATTCTGTGAAAAAAAGTCAGAATTGTGAGATAAAAAGTCGCAATTACCTTTTTTTATTTTTTATTCAGTGGCGGAAACGGGCTTCCATAGTTATCCTCTATGCAGAGATCCAAAAATCTCACATGAATGTCTAACCACTGCTGTTGTATTTGTAATTGCACAATAGAATGTTTGTTATAATTTTGTACAGGGTATCGTTAGGCTACATTTACATTAGTGCGTCTTCGTTTTAAAACGCATAATTTTTGCTAGGGTTACACCTATCGTTTACACTACTTAAAAACGGAGACTTTCGAAAATGCTGCATACCCCGTTTTAGTTTGAAAACTCCGGGATTGCATTTGAGTGTAAACGGACCAAAACAGAGACTTTTGAAAATGATGGCATGGCTGCCCACATTCGCTCTGCGTATCCTTAACGATCGTGTAAACAATAGCACCATGCTCATTGTTGTACCCATAGACATGTATAGGTAGATTCCCCATTCGACCGCTCCAAGCACGCAGATGCGTCCGACATCTAAATAATAGGGTATCTGCCTATACATATCGATGGTTGTACCTGCATGAATGGTTATGTGACATGCGTTTTCGGTTGTGTAGTGTGGACGCAGTTTCTGAAACGCAGTGACAACACCAGTGTAGACGAGGATCGTTTTCATTTTAAAACGCTGTTTTAAAATGAAAACGCACTAGTGTAAACATGGTCTTTGATTGCCCTCCAGATATTTAAACGTTAAGTTTAAGACTGAAGACTTTATTAAGAATTAAGACTGCAAAAATATTCCCAGCATTCTCATTCATCTCAATGGCAGCTGATCGGCTGGTGCAGGCAGCCCTGAAATAACTGGATGCTGCCATCTTTGCTGCTTGAAAAAAGTGCTCTAATATAGCATAGAGTATATTTTTGCAGTTTATATATTTTTTGCAAAAAAATAAAAGAAGATACAGATTGTACTTTTGACCCTGTGGGCTTTTAAAAAAAAATACATAAACCACTTTTACAGTTTTCATATATTCACACCCATACTGGTTTCATCACTTTTCTTACTTTTGTAATTTGTCTAAAATTCATTAACTTTTTCACCACATCATACATGATGTATTGTGTTTGATAACATTCAACAGAAATTACAGTGGTGGAAATTATGTTTTAATCATTTTTGGAATCAAAAGCAATTCATTTAGTCTTGGTGAGGCTAATTTTATAACCAGCACTTTATGTACCTCAAATACACAATTACATAATATTTTTACACTTCTTGCATAATTTGACAATTAAAATATTCTGTTTACAAGTGATATTCACTTTTTTTTTTCCTAACACATCTCATGTTTCTCATAACTCATGCATTTAACAATTACACTAAGTAAAAAAATAAAAAGAATAAACCGAACAAAAAATACTTACTATAAACTCTTTTAAAAATGAAGGTTCTTTATTGGCATCTATGGTTCCAGGAAGAGCCTTTAACATCCCTGGAACCTTTCCATTGCAGAAAATGTTAGTTATAGTGGAAAAAAAGGTTTTTAAAATGTTTTTCCCACTGTGAAAAAAATGGTTATTTTAAGAACTGTTCTCTGAAAGGTTCATTGGGGATCCAAAAATGGTTCTTTTATGGCATCACTGCAAAAAAAAACCTTTTAGAACCTTGGTTTTTATGGGTTTAGGGGCAAAAAAAATGGGTTGTAATTTTGGTAAATTTTACAGACTTTGTTTTTTACACAATAAATGTGGTTTATTGCACTCTGCTCATCTCACTCTGGTTAGATCATCATATCAACATAAAATAAAATATGTAGTTTAGTAAATATTTTTCATAAAAATCAACCCAGGACATAAAAGTGTCTGAGTTACAGCATCGCCAAACACTTGGACCCCAACTCACACCACTGCTACCAGTGTTGCCATGTTGGACTACTAAAACAAACAGCAGTTTAGACAGCATCACAGAGCCACAGTGTTTACACTCTTTATGAAATACTATTGAAAAATGACACAGTGACACTTTAGATTAGGGAACACATATTCACTATTAACTAGTTGCTTATTAGCATGCATATCACTAGTGTATTGGCTGTTTATGAAGCACATATTAATTCCTTATTCTGCATGGCCATATTTTAGATCCCTTAAAAATGCCTAAACATAACTTCTACAACTATCAATAAGCAGATAATGTTTTAGGTAACTCTTAGTGAATAGTGAATAAGTGCTCCCTAACCTAAAGTGTTACATTTCAAGATCCATATTTTTGAGGAACCATTTATATTAAAACATGGCACTACTGTAGTTGATGACGTGAAGGTTCGCTTATTATCGGCAGTGTCCATTAAAGCAGGACATTGACTCAATCTTCTAATATAAAGATCAACCTCCTCTTTCAAATGAAGGTTGTTTCTGGCAATGACTGGAAATCTCACTTTCCGACAAATGGCAAGGGAGCTCTGCAAGTTTCATTTGACAGGCACACACACACACACTCTCTCTCTCTTCTCACACACAGACTCGTCTCTCTGCCCCCTCACCGCCCACCTTTTTTCAAGCAGTTGCTAAGGTGACGGCAAAGACTGCATTTTAATCAGATAATAAATTAAGGCAACGATTTTTTTGTGTGTTCTACAAATGAACACTTCGTGAATTTAACAGGTAAACATGTTTAAAACAACTAGCACATCTGGAATAATGAAGCCTATTGAATAATATTCCATTCCCTGTGTGTATTTTGTGCTTGAAAAAGTGCACCGATTCAACGCGACATGATATAACCGCACACATGTTAATCTACACTACAGTTATGTGAAACTACATTGATCCAATTAGTTGCCAGATACAGTATGTGATCCTAATGAGAAACCCGCCTCCCTTAGCGCCGGATTAGTTATTGATCTGATTATCCTTCACACGTACGGTTTCTTCTGCTGAAAACCCACAAGAACAGAACGGGACAAAGCCTGCATCTCGTTTACACTTTAATATACTCCTATAGACTATTAGCTCACATGCAGTGAGAGCATAGGAGAGGATGTTGAGCTTCAGAAACATTACAAATATAGCACACACTACGACATGTGGCTGTGTTTTGGTCTAATATGGATAGTGAATGATATGGATAGCCATGGCTCAATTCTGGAAGCCTTATCCTTTCAGAGCTCAGCTTGACTAAAAGCTTGATTCAATAGCAATGCCTTCTGATATATTTATGAGTCAAGGACAGACTGCATTGTTTACTACTGCTGCGGTTTGTATGATAACGCATCCTACACAGCCAGGCCTTTATATCTCCAAAATGTCGGTTGAGATAGTTGTTAAAGAGATTTTTTTCTTTTATTTTTTTGGATGGCAGCAGTACCTAAAGAAAAAAAAAATATTGCTCAGAGGTTGTTCTTTCAAAGCGCAGGGGACTTTAAGGACTTAATTGATTTATTTGTAAATCAGCTCATATATTTTCACTAAAACTCTGTAAAAGAAATAAAATCTAGATACATTTCAGGTAATTTTGTCATATAACAAGAGGTACACTGTTAAAAAAAAATTCTCAAATATGAAGTGTCATGCAAGGAATTCTGGGAGTGTCAATTTACAGTTTCTCACTGTAAATTATACAATGACTTTTTCTTTTTCACTTCCAAAAACCGTATTTTTAACAGTATTGTACTGTAAAATTATATTAAATTAAAATACATTTATTCACCGAATATAGTATGGAAACTTACTATTAACCAGTTAACAGGTTTTTACTGTAGCATTTTTACAGTCTTTTACTGTTAAAATCACAATCATTTTTTACAGTGTATTCAATGAATATTGATAGCAAAGCTTAGATCAGTGGTTCTCAACCAGGTGACTGGGGTCCATTGGAGGGCCCAACTTTCAGGGGGACACAAGTAGGCCTATTTATTATTATCAAGTATAAAGTAATTATTATTAATATAATAAAGTCTTAACTGTAATGTGAATTAAAATAGCAAAAATACAAATAAAATCAAAATGTAAACTGATTATTTTCACTCTCAATATTGTTTTTATTGAATAACATACAGTTCTTGAAACTTATGGAATCGCATAATGAATAATAATGATAAATAATAATGAATAAAAAAAAAAAAAAATATATATATATATATAAATGATAAATTAATGTAAATAATTAAAGAATTATATTATAATGATTATTAATAACAAAAAAAAGGGACAGGAATGACTTACTATGTTGATGTCCCTTGGAAGGGAAACGGATCGGTAGGGGTATCTAGAGAGGGTTTCCTCTCTATAGAGCAGCGGACTCAAAGGTCTGATTCTCTGGATGGGGTTTGGATGAC